TCCTCGAATGGTAGACCGGTGAGTACGTTGGCCTGTTGGAATGTGACGTTTTGTGGCTTTATCTCCGACGGATAGAGAGGGGCTATGTCTATGCCTGTGAACTTTGGATTTTGATATTCGGTGGCCATTTCCAGAACCCAGGCACCAGAGCCGCATCTAGTTTTTGAAACGATCTTAGAATAACGGAGAATAGAAAATGACTACATTGATTCTAGACTGACGCGAATACATACCCAATATCCAGTACCTTGGTGTCTTCCTCATGCAGCAGATCTTCCATGGGAGACGAAAAATTGCCGTCCCAAACATGTTTGTACATGAAATGTTGCATTTGAACTCTATCAATTTCATCTTCGTCAACCGGATAGATATAGTCGATTTCATCCGAATCACCTTTACAATATTTCCGATCACCGATGTACCGAAATATATCGAAATCCGTTGATCGACAGAAGAAGCTCTCTTGCGAGGATGAAGGGGAGGGGCACTGTGTGACGCCGTTCATCAAGGAATTGGATGATTCCTGAGAAGTGGTAGAACTGGCGCTGGATTTTTGACGCGAGCGCTTAGAACGTTTTGATGTCGGAGTTGTAGGAGATGAGGGATTTGAGGCGGAACGAGAGGATTTGGAATTAACTTTACCCATTTTTTTTTTTTGTGTGCAAATAAATAAATTCTTATGAAATGTTCTTTTGTATATGTTTGAATTGGATGAATATATGGAATAGCAAAATATATAATGAATAAATACGTATAAATAAAATATGTAAATAGAATTCGCGATGGTAGTCTATTACAATTCTAAACGAAAGAAATTCGATCAACGAAAATAAATAAATAAATCTATATATATATATATATATACTGTATATATACATATATATTAGGGACACACTATAATTTTAAATTGCAATCTAATGGACTTTTCTTTTTCCTCTCACGCACACAAAAGGAAAAGTCAGATAAATATTGTTAGAAAAAATGCTATCGAAGATAATTAGAGAGGAAAAGAAAAATTTTTGTACGGCAAAAAGAAATTGCATGCTCTTTTATATAGTAGAACTCCCGGTTATCGAAAGATTTAAAGATTTTTTTCTTTGTAAAAATAATTAGCCCAAATTATGGAACAGGATTTATTACCTATATGACACCGTTGTCTCTTGTGTAAGATTCGGAGTACTTTGTTGTTCCTGTTTTCCTAATTTGAATAGAGGCGCGTTTTGTATGACAAACTGTGGGTCACACAGATGGATAGTTCAGTGATTTGATGTATTTATAGTGTTCTGTCTTATCAAGTAATCCGATTATGTGAGAAAAAAAGAAAAATGTCAATTACCGCTAATTCTTAAACCTAGTTAATTGACCTTCAATAATTCATCACCTTATCATCACCTGTTTAATCCGTCCGAAGCTCGCTTGCTTGCATCATACTTTGCATACTGCAGCTGAGCAATTTTAGGTGCCATTATTTACCCCACCAACTTAAATTTCCAAGTTTGGCTTGACAAGAACCTTAATTTCCAGAGTCGGACTTCAAGAATGGAGCACCACCAATAAAAACGACAATGGGACCGCAAATGCGTTTATTTAATAATTGAGCATTATTTCTCGCATCTATCAAAATAAAATTACTTTTACACCCATGAAAAATTTAATAAAAAAGGTGCATCCAACGCAATTTGGTCATTGAAACGCATATGAATTGCGCGTGACACAGTATGTGCATTAATTAAATACAGTGCACATTTGGTTCATTAACCGTCTGAGGTTATCCTTGCGAGTAAAGCGCCATAGACGTTTCAGCCGACCCACCTCGATTGATTATCTAAAGCTTTATCAATTGTGAAACATCGCCTAATGCTTAATTAATGGCTTTTATTCTAAACCCCATAAAAATATCACTCGGTCAAACGTTGTTAAGGGGATTAGTAATCACGCATGGTATATGAATACAAAAAAGGTATGTCGGCAACATTAAACAGCGAGAATTGCAACGAACATGCCAAGAAAAAAAATTTTTTCTACCTACCGGGGACCACATGACACGTGATACAATGCAACCGTTATTTTGTAGCCTAAGCAGAAGAAGTAAGTATCGCAAGTGACCTTAATCTTAGGACGTGAAGGATGCGCGTGGAATATCTTCTTGTCACTATGATTTTAATCACAAATTAATAGTTTAGAGCGTAGCACATACAGTATGTAGCTTGGCGCACAAAAAACTTGCACTAACTTTAACATAAGTCAGCGCAAGTTATTTGTCCTACTCGTCCCACTCTCAATCACCTGCCGGTTGTTCGCTAATTTTAGGGGTTGTCAATTACATAATTTTTTTTTTCTTTTCGATTTCTAAAAACGAAGAACAGCAATTGTTCGCGCGATCACCAGGGCTGATCTTGCGAGAATTAAGACAGATTAAAAGAGAAAGGCATTGTTAAAGTTCGCGTAATTCACACAAGGTCATCCGGCAAAAGCGTTCCTCTCGGATAGAATTACTGGATCTGTGATGCAATGTGAACGTTGTGGAAATAAAGGACACTTATATTGGTCAATTTCTGTGACAATGATGATGACATAACCACTATTCGATCAGCAATAATGGTAACCAAGTACCTTTACTTCGTTCGGCTATGGAACGGAACGGAGTCATACGATAAATGAGGTTTAAGATGTTAAGCTGCATCACTGTGTCATCTCTTCTTTATCCAAATTTGTTGAACAAAACAATTCCTTACCATTATCCAACCTTAAGCCATGATAATTAATATACGTACATCTTTTTGGCTCTGCATTAATGTTTACAGTTTCTTTATTTTTTGCAATCAAACATTGTAAATTGTTAATCCTTATCACCAAACTGTCATGTTACTTGGGCTTGCATATCGAGGGCAATAAAGGAACAAGGATTCAACTTGACAAAGGGCCAAACAAAATACGGACGAATAATGTAATGACATCAGGAAAATAAGGTTATACAGTATATTGTTCACCCAGATCTCTCTTTATCACTTACCACTACTTTGGTTATCACTGATTAGATTTGGAAAAAGAAATCGGCAATTCTAATCCTAAATCACATGGGATTCTTTTTGCTAACGTGTTCGACAAATATTGTATACAACACGTTTTACCTGTACACACTGTTTAATTGTTTAAAACCTTGTACCATAAAACTTGGCAAAACCGGTAATTAAAGTTATCAAGAGTGAAGCCGGTTTTCGAACATGCTCAACCTTACTTGTGACCCAAGATAATGGTTGATTCAATCATTTTTTTTGTCGTAATTATAAAAATCTCACCCTACCATTTTTATCGTGAGTTACATTTCATACATACTGTATATACTGTATATTGAATTTTATATCATTTAATGATTAAAATTTTTATGAAACTTAACATTATTTTTTCATATTACAGTATTATTATTGTTATTTTAATTACAAATAAATATTAAGAGTAAAATATGTATTAAACTTTAGCATATTTTATTACATTATATGAATTATAGTATTTGTAAATTAATTAATTATTTTTATTTTTAAATTTGCAATTAGGCTAGAATTATTTATTTATTAAATCATAAAACCATTACAAGTATAAGAATATATATTATAAATCTTCTCAATTCAGCTTACCTATTAATAGCTGAAGTCTTTAAATGTAATTTATGAAAATAATGTTATTTTTTTTCAATAAGATTAAAACTTACAAATTATTTTTATAATTACAATCATAAATTTAAATTGTATTAATTCTTTTTTATAAAAACTATGTAAAAAGAAAAAAATGAAAAAAATGATAGATAAAAAAAAACAACATGAAAAAAAGATATTAAAAAAAAGAAAAAAAAAGTTAACATCTATTTTAATTATTATTAAAAAAATTATTTCAATAAATCTAAATCCAAGCTCTTTATTATTATTAATGCATTTATTTCTTATCATTTATAATTAATCGAATTAATTAATTTTTATAAAAACAATAATATCCAAAAATATTTAAGGATACTTTTAAAAAAATATTTAAGAATACTTTTAAAAAAATATTTCTTGAAACTTTATATATAAAGACTTTTAATTAAAAAGAATATTGCTTTTTATTGTTGATTTCTTTTTTTAAGTTATATCTTTTGAACACTAGTCAAAATAGTGCCATTCGGTATGCTGCCACTCGTCAAACATTTGAATACAACATTCGGCATAGTATTATTCAATAAAAATTCGGCATAATACCATTTGGCAAAAATTCGACATATGCCGATTTATAAAATAATATTTTATTTTTTATAATAATTATAATAAAATAAAAATAAAATAAAATTTATAGTATATTTTTTTAAAAAAAATTAAATTTAGATAAAAATTGTTTTATATCTAATTATAGCCGAATTTTAGTGATTTTAAATATTATATTTGCGGTTTAGTGAA